TCCTTATCCGAGAAGACTAGAATAATGAAGTGTAACATTTCTGTAAATGCACTGAACAAAAAGCAAATTAAAAGAAGCCAGCTCACCATTTGCAGTTTTCACAACATTTTCAATCATATCTTTGAACCTCTCACATTCCTTTCTCCAAGAGTAAACCTTCCTGTAGTTCTCTCTAGGCTGTCTGGCTTTGGCTTCTCTCTCTTCTGGACTTTGGCTCGACATCTCACTAATCCTCCGTGCCCATTCAACTGCATCATCATCAGATTCTACAATAACAGAATTTCCACCTTCAACCTTTTGCAAAGCCTCAGCTACTCCAGATTGACCAGAAAAAAGGATAGGAACACCAGAGGAAATGGCCTCCAGTGCAACTAATCCAAATCCTTCAGTGCGTGAAGGGAGGGCAACCAGGTCTGATTGGTGAAACATTTCTTTCAGTTCATCCTGTTCAGTGCAATAACCACGAATGGTTATCTGCTTGCGTTTGATGCACGTCTTCTGCAGAAACCATTGCTCTAAGTTTCTATGGCCACCAGGAGGAGAGCCAACAAATGTGAGCTCAAATTTCTTTCCAAGGGAACCTATGGAATTTGCTACTATATCATAACCCTTTAATGTAAGGTCTTCATAGCTTGCTCTGCCGAACAAGAAGACGTTAAACTTCTTCATGAACCTATAAGACTTAAAGGCAGTCAACGTCCTCGATAATACACCTGCAGGATTTCCTGGTTCTATCAATTCATTGCAAAACTTTTCCACAATTCCAGGGGTTATGATCTTCACTTCTATCTTTGGCAGACTTTTGCTATACTTCCGTTGTAGACGGGAGCCTACAGCAACAACTGCATCCGCTGCTTTACACAACTCAATTTCCCTCTTGTGCTTCTCCTCGTTCTCTTCGATCGTATCTGTAACAGCCGTGGCAGGAGCTTCTTTGAACTTCCCAAGGTCTTCGCAAAAGACGTGTACGAACTGAATCCATTTACATTTTGCGGTTCGTACAATGTGGCACGCTGGAGTTCCAAGTTTTCTGCCGTGACCAATGACAACATACGGATGCTGAAGCCCTGAAGGTGGAACTTTCAACCAATCCAAAGGATCACGCGATCCAGGAACAGTTTCGGCGGTGATTAAATTTACACCATGTTGTTTGGCGTCTTCCCTGTCTCGATCGTCGCTTTTCGAGACATAGCAGTGGATTTTCATGCTTCTAGTCGTCGTTTCTGCCAAGTTAATTGCAAATTCTCGATTGAAAGTTGATAACCCACCCTTTGAAGATTTCCACTCATCACAGAGAAACACAACATCAATAAGCCTCTGTTCTTTCTTCTCATCTTCGCTGCTTGCCGCAGTGGACACACTCGAACACGCCATCGTTAGTATTGCTCCGCTTTCAATAACATTCACTCCACTAAACTTCACAATCAACAAACATCTACGTCTGACTCCATCGTGGGCATCTGAGTTTGTCGTCCATCCCCAGCCGAGCGTCCAGCCGAGCGGAAAGACTAGTTGTGCAGCGGCGTGAGACAGTGTCATGTATGCGACCGCTCATGTCCCTTTGTATTGATGTCACACATCGAACTCACTTCTCTCTCTAACCTTCTCTGCTGAGATTTTTACTGAATAGATTCGTGGAAGTTCTTCGATGTTCTCAACCCCTTTCAGAGGGGAAGTTACTCCTCTCATTGGTGGTACTCTGCTTGGAATTCCACATCCTGACCCTGATTCCGAAAAATAAAATATCTAGAGTTATTCGCCTTGTTTTCTCACCTGACTTCTTAGAGTCACCTTGTTTTATTCTTCTTCCCCTTCTTCACCGTGAATGACTTTTATGACAATGAAGCATAAATGAGCATCATTGAATTTTATGCATGATATCTCTTCCTCAAGTGCAATCATGAAATAAACGCCAGCATACTTCGAATACAGCTTGAGCACATCTTTTCCTTTACTCAACTTTTATCCGAAACCTTCACGTTCATTTCCCTTTTCTGATTGGACAACGTTAAACGATAACCTGTTCAAATTAATATCTGGCTGGCACATGAGAATCTTGCTACGTATCCCAGATGCTCTAATACTGTGGGATTTTGATTTTATTCGAGTGCTAGCTCCTGTCCGTTTGGATGGTTTTTCGATTGGAAGGTACGAGGAGAATCGTGAATCGTTTGACCTTATGCTGCGAGGTTTGAAAGCGGAGCGATGCGATTTTCTGGGAAAAATCGCCCGGGCGCTTGAACCCTTTCAAAATAAGGTTTCCACCCTT